TAATCCCATCTGTGGGAAGAACCAAGATCATTCTACAAGTCCTAAATGACCGTTAATGTTATCTTATCACAGACCACGTGTTACTCTTCCAGTAACCTAAAACTAAAAACCACCACCAATGTGGGTGGTTGTCTAGCAAACTCTGTAAACTTTTTTAATGTTCTTTTTTTTTAATATAAGATACACCTATCATAATCTGCACTGTTAAATCGGAAAATAAATCTATTTTTTTCCAAAGTCACATTGAATCTATGCATTGAACTGTGCAAAAATTTTGTTTGCACCATCGAATCCTAATTCCGTGAGAAATAAATAAATATGGAGGAATGATGACGAAATTATTATTATTACAAATTATCTGAATAATTAGATTACGGGAGCGGTTTCGATAGTTCTTATCTGTGATGAGAGGAGGATTTTAAAATATTTTATATTTATTTATCATCAAAATTTTTTTTATATAAATTTCTTAATGGTTGACTGTTTCTATCGGTCAACTATTCAATATTGTAAGTACATCAGTAACCGTGCGAAACTAAAACGTTCCGTGTCTCCGGTATAGTTCGAACGAAAATAAAATGAATTTTCCGGCAAAATTCAAAGTTTAAAAAAAAATTTCATCGAAAAAATGTTGACTGCATGAAACCATTTTACCGATGAGAATGTGATGTTATTTCAGAACACATGTTTGAAAGAAAATACTCTAAAGACATATGATAGTCGCGACTCTTCGTTCTGTATAATAAACAAGTCACATCAAACAGGACGTGAGTAAGAATGAAACAATGGCCGCCTCTAGATTCGATTCGGGGGAATTCAAAGTCATCATATTTGACTGGGAAAGTTTTGTATGGAATGAATTATCTGTAGACGAAAACGATATATGTTGCGATATTTCAAAAAGTAGATAAGCGCTCAATCGAACGTAACAGACTAAACCTAAAACGTTTTTGAAATAATAATAAAATATAAAAAGTGTTTAAATAAAAATTCTGCCGGAGAATCCTGAAAACGTTTCTCATCCGGAGGAAGTCAGACAGGAAATCATTTCCTAGTAAGCATTTTAAAAGCTAGAAACAGAATAATAATATATCAAAATAGTTATTAAATAAGATTAAAAAAATTAAAATTTATCAACATTTAAAAAATATATATATGTATAACTGAAGAATAAATCATTTCTAAGATCTTTTTTTAGAAATTCGACACCAAGTTTTTTATTTTTTCTATTGTACATTAATCTACATGAAAAAAAAAATTTAAATTTCTGAGACAAGACCGTTAGTAAAGCTCAAGGACTAAAGAATAATCATCAAGCAGCTGGTGGAACTACGACCGTTGTCCTCCCCTTGAAATGGGTGGGGATTTAACCCTACTAAGGCCAGGGACAAACTTAAAGTGCAATCTTAACAGTAGGTGGATGAGTCATTTTTCACTGCAGGTATTACAAATAAAAAACTGGTAGTGTGAATTAATGAAATAAAAAGAAACTTATATGTATATACATGGTTCATAAATATCTGTCTAACAAAACTGCATTATAAGCTAATGATGATACAACATAATTTTAAATTTAAACAAATATGAATAAGAAAATATTTTTAGTTTAAAAATTAAATATTAAGCAATTTCTTGATTCATCATTAGATAGCAAAATGGTATAAATTATTATAATATACTGATTATTTTATTTTAAAAAATTTTCATCACTTAAAACATAACAAGGAGACTATATTCAGAATTTCCTTCTAAAAGTTTCCTATTAAATGAATGACATCACTTCCTGGATAAGCATTTACTAGGATAAGAGTTTAGTGAGATAAAAATTTAAAGTTTTTAAAATACACATTGATAAATAATATATATTTTTGCTTGTAAAAGTATTAAATTTAGTAGCAAAAATAATTTTGAACTACTGAACAGAAGTTATAATTTTATATATTCATTACATTATAATTTTAAAAGATCTAAAGAATTTGTAATTATTGTATGATCTCATTATACTTTCAAACTTCCTGTATAATTAAATATTTTACAAAATTATATATTTCACAAGTAATGAATGACATTATTTTAAACCAATATACTACATAAAGTTAGATTAGCACTTTTTTCCATTTATAGTAATATCAATGGCTAAATCAACAAAATCTTGAACTTTGTATCTCAATCTATCTGAAAAATTCAGATTGATTTATTGTCTAAAATAATTTACTTTAAACCTAAATCACGTTTTACACTTCAACAAAAACCTAAAACAATTTCCATTATATATTTATCATGTTTGCAGTGTCATTTTAAATTACTAATTTAACAAAATTTTATAGCTAGAATACATGACATGATAAATATATTATTGAACTTAATTTTGCCTTAAGAAATAGTTTAAAAGACATTTTATTCAATTCAGCAAGCTTATAACAATATACTTTATGATAAAATAATATGTATAAATCTAAATTCTAACATCTATATAATCATTTTAAAATTTCTCAATAGTTTCAAGGCTAATGTTGTCAACCAATTTTACATTTAAACATATTTAAGCTATAGAAAAATAATACAAAATTTTATNTTAGTGGGTTTAATTAATTTTAATTATTAAAAGCAATTAAAATTAGTTTTTAGGTTTACTTTTAAAGTTTTAAATATATATTTACTGAAAAGAAGTTTAAATCTCCGGTAATGCGGGATCAAATTTGGGAGAGCAACCCAGGAATTACTCATAAGGAATCGGGTCTGTTCCGTATATGTTGAGTCCCGTCCTTCACTATCCAGCCATTCCCCTTGTGTGCATATATTTTTCGTTTCAGATGGATCGATCTGTAAGATCGGATCACTCTTTGTCACGTGATACAGATCACTTCTATCGTGTGTATTAGTTGGTGGAAAGTATACAAATACGATCGATTTGTATTTACTCCGTATATAAAACTGTTTACATAGTGGCAAAATGGGACAGTGCACGCAGGCATTCTTACCATACAGGCCTAAAAACTGTCTCTTAATACTTCTTTTTTAAATCTCGGTTTATCGGATATTTTAATAATGTCTTCACTTACCATTTATTCAGTTTTAAATACTTTTCGTTGTAGACAGTTTAAACATATTTCTTTGCTGTCAACTATCATCTTAATTTTAAGAATAGAGGTCGCCATCTTTAATCTTTTTTATCCGATCCAAACAATCCTACTTTTCACTCGGATTGGTTTGATCGCGATCCAGTTGATTCTAGATGAGGTTTGTATACGCGAATAGAGATTGATCAGATCTCTATACAATTGTTCGTTTATATGCGGGATTTGAATGATCGGAGTAATCTTGGATCAGTTTGATTCCGAATGTATACGCAAACCTAGCCGAACCTACAAAGAATATGGGAAAAAAAAGGCTCCTCTTACTCGTTAGTATCCACAGGGTAGAGACAAAAAAAGAAGTAGCGGATTATGTTCCTTTGAGGTCCTAGGCGCAATTTTTATTATAAAATCCTTTATGTAAAAGTATTTTTTATATTAAAAAGATAATGAAATTCTTAAATAATAAGTTTTCCTTTATAATATACAGTTTTTAAACGTTCACTAAATTTTTAGGTATAGGCCATCGGTATATTATCTTCTCGCTATGTAAGTTTTGAGATCCATCGAGACGACCAGGCCCTAAGTGCGCGCCTGTTGTGTAATTCGCCACTGGAAAAAATGGCAATTACGTTTTATTTTATATTTCAATACGTGTACAAGACTTTGTGACCACAGTAGAGCTATAATATCTGAAGAAGCGGTGTTGCTGGTCAAGGATCAACTCTCAAACCTGAATTTCCCTGAAGTCACATTTAAAATATCATATAAATAAAATTTCTTAGACCAATGGTTGGAGACTGAAAAGCACTGACGGCATGTTGACATGTCTAACAAAAACTAATACGCTTAAACAACTTTAACTTAGGTTAAACTTTTCACATTTATCTAATCAGAATCAAAAACTATTAAGGCCAATCTTATTGTACGGAACTAAAAAAATGGATTTTCTATCTTTCTAAAAAGAAATATAAATAATTAATGACATAATGAGGACATTAAAGATTCTAATTGATATTTTTCAAAACAAATATTTCAAATAGGCTTATATAGTTTTTATAAAATTAATTAAAATACTTGAATTTATATCACATAAACAAAAAAATTTATACTATTTTTAATCTATAAAATAAATACAGTATTATGCAACACTACATTATCTGATAATTAATATTTTATAGCTTTTAGAAATATTTACAATAACCAAAACTTTTGAATATTCAAAATTTCAGATCTTTAATTCTAATATTCTATCTTTTCTGATTTTTTATGATGTAACACAAAGATTAATATAACATTATACATAAATCTCTAATATAGTAATTTCCTTAAAAAAGTGAAGCTGAATTATTAACAATTATAAATTCACACTTTTTCAATCTATAACCAAAGAATCGTTATAAAAAATGTTCTACACTCATTTTAAAAACAACCTGTTCAATAAACTTACTATTTGAGAAGTGGCTGCTTCTATTTTCTTGTATATAATATGTAACTTATAAAGGGTCAATTACTTAGTTTTTTTTACAATATATTTTAATATTTTAGCAATTAACTGAAACTGTCCTCAATTACAAAACATTCAACATGTTTATACTTAGATATGATCTTTAATAACTGAATATCAAATTATATAAACTTTTTCTAATTTTCAGTTATTACTTTAAAATACTAATAATAATAATAATTTCATAATCAGTTTTTTGTTTATTTCATCATCATACCAATAGAAATTGACAGTTTTCTAAAGGAAACAGATTACAATAAATTTTGATTTAATACATAACTTGATGCGCTTTAATTTTATCAAAGGTGATTTATTTAGCTTACAAATTGTAATTTTTTATGTAATGATCTCAATTAATTACTATTATAACATAGCAGAGAATCATGAGGAAAATGCTTATGTATGAAAGGTTAACTCACCCAATAATAATAGTTTAGCTTCTCTGGCTTGTCTTTCTCCATCGGCTCTCAAATCTTTATCTATCTTCTTGGATCTCTCGACTGCCTCTTTGTCAGCAGAGGAACTGACAGCACAACCCATTGCTGACTTTAGGCTTATGAACCAGTTCAAATAAAATTAATTGTTCAAATAATAAGCTCAATTATCCAAATTGTTAATTAAAGTATAAAAACACAATTACACACTACAGGCATATAAAAAAAACTCTTTGTAAATGATTAGATTTCTAATAACATGGCAATTAACACGTGACAACACTCCCTAGTCCCTACTCTTCAACTTCTTCCGTTAAATTCGCTCCTCAACTGTGACAGCGCCTTCTGCCGATCGACCACACTGACATCGAGATTAAAAATTCAAAATTCTTCAACTGGCACGCCCATTTCTAATAACCCTTCTAGAGAACGTAATAATAAACAATAAAATTTACAAACTTTATTAAATAATTATTAAATCTCGTATGTTTTCTATTAATAATTTAATTCTATTATAACATGAAATGAATATTATAAAACTTGTGAAAATAATTTTACAGAAAATGTGAATTCTTTAATTTCAATACGCTTATATTATAAATAAAAATATGTTTGTACAGTATATATATTTATTATAACTTTGTAAAGATTAACTTTTAAGCTAAGTATTAAAAATGGAAAATATTTCGCTTGTATTTGACATAAAAGGTAATATTTCGTATTGACTATTTTTGTTTGGCCAATTAAATATTTTTCATTCGTTAGCGGGTTTAATTAATTTTAATTATTAAAAGCAATTAAAATTAGTTTTTAGGTTTACTTTTAAAGTTTTAAATATATATTTACTGAAATTAAGAAGTTAAAATCTCCGGTGATGCGGGATCAAATTTGGGAGAGCAACCCAGGAATTACTCATAAGGAATATGGTCTGTTCTGTATATGTTGAGTCCCGTCCTTTACCATCCAGCCATTCTCCTTGTGTGCATATATTTTTCGTTTCAGATGGATCGATCTGTAAGATCGGATCACTCTTTGTCACGTGATACAGATCACTTCTATCGTGTGTATTAGTTGGTGGAAAGTATACAAATACGATCGATTTGTATTTACTCCGTAAATAAAACTGTTCACATAGTGGCAAAATGGGACAGTGCACGCTAGGCATTCTTACCGTACAGGCCTAATCTAATCTTTCAAAACTGTCTCTTAATACTTCTTTTTTAAATCTCGGTTTATCGGATATTTTAATAATGTCTTCACTTACCATTTATTCAATTTTAAATACTTTTCGTTGTCGACAGTTTAAACATATTTCTTTGCTGTCAACTATCATCTTAATTTTAAGCATAGAGGTTGCCATCTTTAATCTTTTTTATCCGATCCAAACGGTCCTACTCTTCACTCGGATTGGTTTGATCGCGATCCAGTTGATTCTAGATTTCTAGATGAGGTTTGTATACGAGAATAGAGATTGATCAGATCTCTATACAATAGTTCGTTTATATACGGGATTTGAATGATCGGAGTAATCTTGGATCAGTTTGATTCCGAATGTATACGCACCCCTTGCGAACCTACGAAGAATATGGGAAAAAAGGCTCCTCTTACTCGTTAGTATCCATAGAGTGGAGACGAAAAAAGAAGTAGCGGATTATGTTCCTTTGAGGCCCTAGGCGCAATTTTTATCATAAAATCGTTTATGTAAAAGTATTTTTTATATTAAAAAGATAATGAAATTCTTAAATAATAAGTTTTCCTTTATAATATACACTTTTTAAACGTTCACTAAATTTTTAGGTATAGGCCATCGGTATATTATCTTCTCGCTATAGTTTTAAGATCCATCGAGACGCCAGGTCCTAAGTGCGCGCCTGTTGTGTAATTTGCCACTGGAAAAAATGGCAATTACGTTTTATGTTATATTATTTCAATACGTGTACAAGACTTTGTGACCACAGTAGAGCTATAATATCTGAAGAAGCGGTGTTGCTGATCAAGGATCAACTCTCAAACCTGAATTTCCCTGACGTCACATTTAAAATATCATATAAATAAAATTTCTTAGACCAATGGTTGGAGACTGAAAAGCACTGACGGCATGTTGACATGTCAATTTTGTTCTATAAATACAAGAAAAAAGTCAAATCTGAATATTTTTGTTTGTTTTGTTTTCTATTGATATAAAGACCAAAGAATTGTAATAGACAAAACTTAAGACTAAAAATGCAATCCTTTATTTTTGTATATAAAAATGTTTCGTTAAACATTGCTTCATAATTTATGATTTTACGAGTATTATTGAAATTATAAAAATCAGCATAGAACTGCAATATATAATAGCATCTTATTAATTTTGCACATAACGGTATCATAAGATTTAGTAATTTGGCACTTGCAATATCGCAGCATTTTAGCAATTGTGCGACTTAATCATCACATTCTGAATCTAAAATAGTTGTACTTCAATGGCTGGACTAGGCTTTGAACTTGACGCCACATCCCAATTAGTTTTATACATATCAACTGTATATAAACGTAGGTGTTATTTTGCCACATTAAAATGCCTGCAATCTGAAAAGAACATCTGATAGCATACAACGCATTCAATTTAACAGTATTCACACGGTTTCTTTTCCGTTTTGATATCAGTGATTATAGAGAAAACACATTCGATGACTGCATTTGAATAAGGTAATGTCAGAACAAATTTTATCAACTTACAAATATTGGCAAAAGGAAACTGCTTCTCTGTAAAATCTGTTTCCTTAGGAATTTGTTCTCACATTCCATCCAGACTTAGCTCTTTTTTGTGAAGAAAGAGACTAGCAAATTTCTCCATTCAACATCACCTTTGAAAATACTTTTAAGGTACTTATTCATTTGCATAATCACGATGTTTACCTTCCAACGCAATGCTTAGATTAATAAACCTGACTTCTTGAAGGAACGTATCTCAGAGTGGTAGCCTGAAAGTGATTTCTCATGATGTAGTAGTGTAAAACTTCAAACACACCATCCTTACTTCCTGAACTAAATTATCAGATTTTCCTTTCAAGAATTCTTCACACTGAAGGAATTGAGAGTGAAGAACTGAGCTTCATTCAACAAAATGGAATGAATAAAATAAATGAATCTTTTCTAGGTTTTCCATTAATTCAAACACAGTTATTTAAAAAATAAACTTTAAATTTTCACTTAACTGATGAATCAGAAGTGTTTTTGACTGTAAAAGAGCATTGAATCAGTAATCGAAAACAAATCTAAATAAAAGATAAACTTTATTTGTAGGTTTATACATATCTTCAAATATCCATTTGGGTTAAGCACAAATATCATCTGTCAAAGGTCGAACAAAAAGTTTTCAACATGTCTCATTGTTGAAGGATTCTGTCAACACAATGATGGTAAGAAAGCCACCTAGTTTCTGTTAGTTTCTGTTAGTTTTGCCTATTAGCTCCGTACGTTTCATTAATCTCCTCTAACTGCTCAACATCGTTTTGGACTACTGGCAATGTACTGTATGTCACCATACATCGCACAAGTTCTGGATTTATAGGAAGTTCTTCACATGCTTTTGCAGCAATAGCAGCAGCAGTGTTGCAGACATAACGCAGCAGAATAAGTTTGGGGAGCTCTGTTTTAAGACGAGCCTATGATTAGTTATTCTGCCCAATCATCATACTTGCACTATCTGTTGCAATATTTGCAAGATTTGATAAAGGGATCCCCTTTTCTGACAAACAATTTTAACTTTTATAATATGTCATCATTTTTTCCCTTAACAATAACATTCTTAATTAATGATGAACATTTTTTCCTAATGCGTAATGTTACTTCTCTTAATATTTTTGAATTACTGAATGCTTTTTTAAAATAGGAATTAAGTGATCAGACACTGAAAATGCTTTATTGTGTTCTGTAAAAAGCTGAAAGGACAACCACTGCTTTTTTAACTTCATCCATGAGCGTTTTTGATTTGAACATCTTTGAAATAGAAATCATGCTTTGCAACTGCGTTATATTTCCTTGATGTGTTTTGGAAGAGGAATGTTTTGTATTTCACTTTTCCTTCCACTCAAAGTACAATTAGCCTACAATTTTCACTAGTCACACCTAAAAATGGAAGCAACTATTCAGAAAAATTAAGACTTTCAATTCGATTTGAAGGAATTCGGGTAGGATTTTGCTTTTTCTGACTGCTCGACTTCGTTTCTCACAATTCTCTTTCTCTTTAGTGTGAATGCATGGCTTAACTGGATGCTCAAAAGAGTGTTTTTTTTTTTTTAAAGTTATAAACAAACAAAAACGATTTTAAAAGAACAAAAAAAAATTTTTAATTGTCATCCGGTAAACAAGTGAAAAAACCACTTACTGACTATACAGGGTGTATCAGAATGGCGTTTTAAAAATTTGGGGATTGTAGAGGATGAAATTTTGCACGTTTTGATATAAGGAACCCATAGCCGGAAATGTGATATAAAGTTTTTACAGCACTACTTTGCAGTCGGTATGCTGAATGAAACAGCAGAATACAGTATTTATGACAAGTTTCATTAACAAAACAATAGAGTACAATCAAACTGTACATCGAATCAATGGCTGCACTACTTTAGAGTAAATGTTCAATGTGACGACCACCAACTTTGTTACATANGCACTTTGCAGTCGGTATGCTGAATGAAACAGCAGAATACAGTATTTATGACAAGTTTCATTAACAAAACAATAGAGTACAATCAAACTGTACATCGAATCAATGGCTGCACTACTTTAGAGTAAATGTTCAATGTGACGACCACCAACTTTGTTACATAATGTGCAACGACAAACCATGTTTTGTCCGACTCTCTGTAAGATGCCACGCTCGCCTCTGATGGTATTAAATGCTGTAAAGATGCGTAAGCTCCTGAACTGTTCCTACAGGTGTTACGTACACAACGGTCTTTACATAACCTCAGAGGAAGAAGTCAAGAACAGTAACATGACGTCAATGGACGGAAGGGTAGCTACCAAAGTGAAGGGCGGTCAAGCACTTCTTACCGCTCTAGAAACTTTATATCACATTTCCGGCTATGGGTTTCTTATATCAAAACGTTCAAAATTTCATCCTCTACAATCCCCCAAATTTTTAAAACGTCATTCCGATACACCCTGTATATACAGAAATCAGGGTTGTATTTTCTTCTTTTCTTCCTCCAGCACTACAAACACTCCCAGAGAAAAACTATTGGGTTTAGAAAGATCAAATTTTAAACTTAAGCCTCTCGTTATCAGTGAGTTGCTCGCCAAACTTCCGGGTCGATAGGTCAAAGTTCACGGAGCTTTCCCATGGGGCTATTTTACTTTCATTGCTTAATTTATGCTCGTAGTGATAAAATAACATGGAAACGAGTGATTTTTGTTTAAAATATTATTCAATATAACTAAACTTTATGCCAATTAAAACTTTTTATAACTTTTTTAGTAAACGGTGTATTGAAAGCTTTCGCTCGGCAGCTATTGCCGAGCGAAAGCTTTCAATACACCAAACGTAGACCTAGACGTAAAGCACCAAACTTTACGTCTAGGTCTTGATGTAAAAACACAATCATTAACCAAAAAGCAATTCGTATCCAAACAAACACATCTGAGATGTAACAAATTGCACCAAAAAATTATGACAATTTAGATAACAAACTTTTTCTTAGTTTTTTTTTAATATAAAGATTAGCTTTGTGCTTCAATGCTAAATATAGGAGACAATAATGGCATTGCTTGAAAAACTCAAGCTTATCTTTACCAAAGAAAAACTCCTAAGAAAAAAATTTGACTGCCATCTAAATTGTCATAATTTTTTACATGACAAAATATTTTTATGTATGAGTTGTTTGCTTCCTCTTAAACCAAAACCTCGACTTCCTGAACCTAGAAAGTAAATTTTAAAAAATCAGAAAAAAATTTCGTTAATATGTGTGTATGCGTGTATATTTTGGCGTCTATTTCATTTAATATCTCAGGATGGGGTAATGATTAAAAAACGAAATTTGGCATGATAGCTTATATATAAGGTGCATTGATGCTATTAAATTTTGGTAGTTAAAGGTCGACTGGGTGGGGAGAGTAGCCTACTTATTATTAAAATAAATTTCTACTCGTAACAGGACGGAGTGCTGTAAGGTGTTTCTGTTGATGGCTTTACGGTGACAGTAGCAGTAAGCTACGCGCTGCCTCTCCAGATATTATTGTTCCATGGTAACCGCTCTATATTAAGAATATTATTAAATCAATTTTCGTTGGCTTAATTTGAAAATGATCAAATTTTAAATAGAAAATGACTTTCATATTCTTCCTTAGAGTATCGTAAATCGAATGACGAGTGGGTTTAGTCAATTACTGTTGAGATAACATTTGAACGAGCAGTCACTCGAACTAGCACGCGATTAATTTTTCGAACTAGTAGTCGAACGATCACTACTCGAATGACTGACTCGAGAGATTGCTACTCAAGCGACTGCTACGAATGACTAATTCAAGCAACTGCTCAACTGATACTCAAGTGAAATTACCATAATCGAGATAATCGAATTGTTTAAGTAATTCATTCAAGCGATTTACCGTCACTAGTAAAAACATATCAAAACCATTAAAACATTTATCCACCACTTAACCAAGTTGGAAATTCCGGCTTGAAGGAGATCGGTTGTGACAAGAAAACGTTTGACCGTTCTGTCCCTTCGTGAAATGCGACCGATGTCGGTTGAGCATTTGCTTAGAAAGTGCAACCAACAACCGACAAAGTGATTTTTCTTCGAAAAACGAAGGTCCTTGCTTATTGAGTTCCATAAAACTGGGATACTCTCGAGACATTATGTCGCGCCGTAAAGAACAAAGCCTGTGTATTCTGACGAATTGGGAAGATCCTTCACCACGATAATGTGTGAAGGCGGACATGCCTTCAAATCACAAAATTCAGTGCGAATACAGAAAATGTTTAAGTGGGAAAAGCTTAACCATCTGCCTTAGAGTTTAGGTTTATCATCGGACGGAATTGTAAAATAAGGTCATCAAACATTTTCTTATGTCCCAACACTTTTCCTAAAAGGCCAAAATTTATAATCTAGTTGAAAGGTTGGATAAACATTTTAGTAGTTTTGGTACGTTTTAACTCACAAATCTGTGTGATGTGACAGACCTCGGTCTGTTTTCATTTCGATTTCTCTAATATAACAGCAATTTCGTTCTGGTCATAAACAGTTTATTCCCTAGAATTTTCCGAACAGTCTATCTATAATTTCAAAAATGTATTTAAGATATTTATCTATCAATCAAAACAGAAAAATCATGTAAACTGTAATTAACATTAACGATAATATTAGTAATCATAATTAAAGCAAGACAAAAATATACTTTATTTCAATTTTTCTGTTATAACAGAGAAATTGAAATAAAGTATATTTTTGTCTTGTATATGTATATGTTAGCATCGTTATGCATATGTTAGTATATTTTTGTCTTGTATATGTATATGTTAGCATCGTTATGCATATGTTAGTATATTTTTGTCTTGTATATAAAGTATATGTTAGCATCGTTTAAACTGTTTATTAAATCTTATAAAAATATTCGAATTAGTTGCGATTAAATGTTTAGGAATAATTAAAATATTATTTCTAATTTCTTTCTAAAATCTTCGGAGTAATTAAAATCATTGTCAGTCCATTGTTAGATGACGATCTCTCTCTTCCATGACTAACTTGTAAGTCTTTCCTCTCAGTCACTTTCATTGTACTTCAACAAATTTTCCAATTTTGTCTCCACCTAATTCTTGGTTTCTTCTTTCGTTATTCTATCCATTGTCTTCATTTCATTAAGTATTTCGTCCACCCTTTCACCTTTGCATCTGGCTATATGACCAATGTAACAAAGCCAATTATAAAATAATCTTATCTTAATAATATTTTATTGATTTTCATTTCATTTATTAGAAACGTTTAATAGTTCTAAGTACACATCTGCCAGAACCTTTAAGATATAATACGCAATTAAATGCTTTATAATAAGCGTAACATGAATGAATAATTGAAAAATCCATCAGGAACACTTAAAATTTTTCATCCCTAAAGTTTATGTCGCAGATAAAAGAAAGAAAAAAAAATGAAAATTAGTTATGTGAATTGCTAATAAAAATAGAAACTTACTTACCTAACTAAAACGGTTCAATTAAAATTGCGAATCCTGAAAAATTTTCATATTCATCCGAAAGAAATTCAATTTTCAAATTATCAATTTGAGTAAAATTAAGAGCCTCAGGCTTAGTTGAACAATATTCATAATCATAATCTCCAGATGTTATTATTAATTTATCAAAACACGATGGCTAAAAAAAATAATATTAGCATATTTTATATCAAAATGCATAATAATTCGTAGAAATTCTGTAAATATTAACACTATGTATGGATTTTAAAGTAGGTATGACCGCCCTGCGCAACAGTACTGATGAATACTAATGTATTCATAACAGTATCGTTGGGCCGGACGGATGTTTGTTCTCAAGAAAACGCATAAGAAAACAAAATTTGATTATTCTAATGCACTGAAAGATGACAAGATAAAAACAAAGGATAATTTTTAAAATTTTATTTATTTTTCTAATTTAAAAAAAAAAAATTGTGTGTACAATGTAAGTCTGGAATAGTGAATACGACCAGCGAAGAGACTGGCCAATGATGGTAATTGAGAAGCGAAGCAATACAGGATGTTGTGTCATGTCGAAGAGTTATTACGATTCAGTCTGTTGCAGATATTGTATCAAGACGTAAGCAAAGCCGTACTTTAATTAGAAATTATGCTTTGAACTTTGCACTAATCTGAACTTTGATCACAGTCAGTTTGTTGACTGACTTAGAGTATTAGTGATATTTTAAAGACAAGTGACTTTATATAAATTATTCCGATATTGGGTGATAGAATGTGCTTAAACATAGAGTACTGTATAACATCATAAATGCATATGTATTGTATTTGTTTTTGTTTCATGTTACGAAGGTGGTTGATCTCTCCTGTACTTTTGGTATAGTTAGACCACATTTATTCGGGCGAGACAGACCACAAAAGAAATTGAAAATTATTGAAAGTATGGAAGTTAGAAATATATTATTTTTACATTATATGGTAAAGAGTAGGAATGAAAATAAATAGTCCTACAAAAAAACAAACAAGCTTTTCAATTCAGAAAGAGAAAAACAGTGTAAAGAAAAACGCATACACGCACACAAAACCAACGATCTTCAGATTCGGGGAGTGAAAGTCCAGATTTACAATAAGATGATGTGTCATCTGAAGAGTGGAACGAAAATGAATATGTGGGATAAGGAGAAAACTATTTTTTAAATCTCTAGAAGGGATGACGGAGTTAGACCTAAATATGGAAGCTGCAGCCTTTCAATAAGCAATATTGTACCAATTAATTTTCTCCGTTATTTTACTCTTTATAAATTACACTTTTGTTATTTTTAAAGGGCGATCTTACCAGTGATGGGTGGACGCTCTAATCAGGACATAAGAGTGAGACATGCCAGTTTCAATGTTTTTTAAATAAAAATATATGCATTTGATTTGTTGTAAATTATAACATATCTAAACTATTTGGGCAATGTTTTAACAGATTAAAAGAATTAAATTTCAAGAAACAAACAGCTATGAATTTTTTTTCAAAACGGTCGAACTACCTGGAATTTACACTGTATTATTTATTTTGTTTTAATAATTTCTTACTTCTTTATGCATTTTTAGGCAGCCTCTATGCATTGCTGAGTTTATATATTATCTTTAGTAAAAGCCTGATATTTTAAATTTAAAATCATATTCTTACACTTTATTAATTATAATAGTACTAATAAGTCTAATAAATAATAATACTTGAAAAATGATGATTTATAAAAATACCTCTTTTCCTTCTAACTGCAATCGAAGAAACTTAATCATGACATTTTGATTGATAACTTCCCATATACAAGTAGAATAACTTGGATAATTATCCGGGAATAAAGGACTAGTAATTATTGTTTTCTCTGTTATATTCAGAATTCCTCCGCAAGCATTAGAATAAGCTACATTATAAAAATTTTATATTTAAATTCAAAATTTTGTAATATTTTTATTATATATATTAAAACATCTCTTACATTCACAAATTTTATCATTCGTAAATGCGTATCGTCCCTCTCTGCATTCACATCTATAGCTTCCAATTGTATTAACACATATATCACTGCATCCGTTTCGTTCAGAATATTCGCATTCGTCTATTTCTTAAATATGATTTCATTTTTAATATTTAACAAATTACTTCAAAATGGACACAGCAAAATTATATATATTTTAATTTAAATAAAAGAATTAATTAAATTGCGATAAGACTTCTAAACAATGAATTTCTGTTTAGACTAACTTGCCATACAACAAATATTTTAAAATTTTGGACCTTTCAGAGAATTCTTTTGTAAAATAAATTATCGTATTCAATTTCTATTACAACAATTTGCAAATATATATAAACCAACGGTGACCAAAGAGCGGCTTTGTGAGCCTCATTTAACTATTGAGCATACGCTCGTTCAGAGGCATTCAGAAGTGCTGAGCGGAAAGTCTATAAACCTTTCCTATATCTTTCCAAAAATATTCTGTTAGAAGGGATAAACCACATACATTAACATCTATGCAATGAATAAGCATAACTTAATTAACAACAGCCAAGACAACCATTAACATCATAGTGATATTTTATTACGTAATCCGCTCTTATCCATGCTGCTCCTCAATGGGATTGTCGAAGCATTTCTAATACACTGCCCCTGCTATAGATTTATATATTTATTTATTTATTTTAATATATATATTTTTTAATTTGTGGAAATAATAAAATTAATATATTATTTTGCTCTAATTGACAGAAATTTATAATTTTATCAGCTATAAGTAGAGTGTCGTTCTTATCAGTTTACAAGCTATACTTCATGTTTACAAATAGTGTAATTGACACTTCTTGCTGTTTGCAAGCGATAGTAATAATAGTCGTAGACGATAAAAACTGATGTAAAATAACACAATAAATGATATTTTTTTCAGTTTGAAAGTAATACAACAAAAGTTCTATAATTACCCATTAACCTATACTGTATAGACAGCTTTTATTAAAAATATGTCAAACTATTAGTTGTTTCATGGAAGTAAAAAAAAAAAATAATTTGATTTTCAGACTGTTTTTATGAAAAATTTATCTATCAATAACTATATGTAAATGATTATTCAGTTCATAACAGTACAGTATGTTCTAAATACTGTAGCTACATTTCTAAAATCATTAACAGTCAAATAAATGCCCGTTCTCTCAAACCAACTATAGACATAAGACTATTTATCACCTACTTTGACCTATTCCAATTTCTTAAAGCAAGAATTGTTACATTTTTGAAAAAGAGGTTGTAATCCTCAAATTCCCAATAATATGGCAAAATTACATTTAAAAAAATGAGTAGAAAATTATATCATATGTAACACCATTATTACTTTCATAAACTTGAATATAAATTGAAAATATCTGAAAAACAGTCATTTATTAATATCCAACTGGCATAATAGTATCTATCTAGTTGTAATGGAACTAAAAACATGCCTTATGGCTAAGATTCCAATTTCCCTAGCAACTACCATACAATATATTAAGCAATTTTCATACACATTTTCAAGTTAGAAGAGGCTATTTATCAGTTCATAATTATAAATGCTTAAAAATAATTTTGCAATTAAATTACAAATTTCATTATTCTTCCACAATATTTTTTAGTAGTATATATCGCATTGCATCTTGTAATGTAATACAATGTAATGTTATGAGAAAAAGTACTATATTAAAACCTCGTCGGGCGGATGGACTATGCGGTTAAAGCATCAGCTCACTGCTCGGATGATCCGGGATCAAGTTACAGATAGTCCTGGATGCGTCGGATCTCGTCCCTTACCACTCGACCATTCTTATTATGGACCTGGCCGAACTCAAAAAATAGCACTCTTTTGGTGTCCATAGGTAAGAAAAAATATTACAATATATTTGATAATATGATGTGCAAGAGTTATCACTTCATTTTTTACGCTGTTATAATTGGAAATACGTTTGTAAATAAATGTTCTCTTTTGGATAAATCTAAAAAAACACACACAAGCCTATACATATAAAAGCATAAATTAAGGAGAAGCATATACCCCATTCGCCCCCTGGATACATCGATGATATCTCTTCACGTCATATTTTAAAATGTAATCTAAAGACTTCGTTAACATAGAAGTTTGACATGGTTTTCATAATGAATGTTCTATGAAATTTTTAGTTTAGCTTTGAGTATTTTATATACTGTATCTATTTATGGCATATAATTAAAAAATGATAAATAAATTTTACCTTTGACAAAATTTACTATAAAACCATCGGGTTGAACATAGTCACTTGCAGAAAAATCACTTTTATATTTCATTAATATTGTATTATTAGTGGATATTATATCTTTTGGCATTTCGTTTCCAGAATATCTTCCTATTAAATTGTTTTCAGGACACGAACCGTCGACTATTTCTAAAAAGTTTGATTGACAATTTTCTTCTGTAATCTAAGGTTTTAAACATTTAATATAATAATATACAGGATTTTGAAAACTCAGTTAACAATATAGGCTAAATAATGTTAATATATAAATCGGTTAATTGACTTTTGTGCTACTTTACATAATAATCTATTTATATTGAAGCTACTTACAACCGTATTTTGAAAAATACCTGAAAACGTTGAAATTTTAAAGCTACATTGTAACCTGAAGAAACTGTAATAATCCATTTACATTCTACATGAAAATAATAATTTCCCAAATAATTTGGACTTTGTATTATTCCTTCATCGGCTTCGATAATTCTATCACATACAGCTATAAGAAAGAATATCTTAGAATGTTTTTAAAATGTATTAAAAAGATAATACAAAAAAGTACTGTACTTATTTACTTTTATAAGTTAATGAAAATCCTTGATCTTCTGAATAGCTAGAAGTTCTTTTATATGTAATTAATAAATAATTTGAGAGACTTTTATATAATATAAAATTAGAGTTGCGGTAAGTTTGCTTTCCGCAAAATCTTCCTAAAATTAAAGAAATTTGATACTTATACAGATATCACAAGAAAAGTTAAGACAGAAGAATTATAAAGAAAATTAAAATGGTTTAGACATGTAAGCAGGATAACAGAAAGATGTAGAAGAAAAGATAGATTAATAAATTATCAAAAACACAAGGAACTTGAAGGGAGGAGTTGGAGGAAGAAGATTTATATATATTGTTTATATATATATATTAGGGTTTCTTTCCCGGGATCCTGTTTTCCCAGAATTCCCGCTGTTTATTCCCTACAAGAAAAATCCCGGAAAATCTCGCATTTCAATAATAATTTATCATGTCAGGTTTTCTTTCTATTATTTATTATACGAAAAGTTGCATCTTGAAGACTCACCTAAGAGAGAAATTTTGAGGTTTCATGCTGCATATTATTACCTATGTTTTACAAGTCTCTACTTGTTAGTTCATGTAATATCTATGTATTGTATTTGCGCATCATTGAACAGCAGAGCACTCGCTGAAAGTAAGTATCACTCATAGCACTTTAGTTTATTTTTTATTTCATTTTTAGAAATAAAATAGTATTTTTTTCGTAATCATTAAAACTCCCAATGAAACACTTTATTTTACTTTCATCTTATAATGTAGGAGAACATAAATTAATTGAGCCTAACGTGTCCGTATGGGTGAGATTGGCCCTACACTTTTAGTTACTTACTAGAAAATAAATTAAATTATTCAAATTTATGATATTC